TCTTCCCTGAAGAGCGTTTGGTTGTAGTAACTGAGGAGAAGAAAGGCAATAAAATAATTTGACTGAAGGTTAGGACTGGAATTACTGAGATCTTATCTCACGTTTATAACGGACACTTTCTAACTGAACAGAGATAACACTTTACAACCTTGACATTTCTTGCTCTGAATGACATTCATTTAACACATCCTTTCTGCTGCTCCTCGTATCTGGTTTGCTAAACCAAAAGATGGGAGAGGAAGTTTGCCAATGCTCAGAAGTTTTTCCTAGAAGTGGAGAACTTGCAGACAAATGATGAGCAGAAGGTTCTCTCTAACGTGAGATCCCAGCACCTGCATCACCTTTTCAACTGAGTGAGTGATTAAAAAACTAAACCCTTACTTCGTAGGAGATGAAAGTCTTCTGGCCTCTCGGTGGTGAGGGCTGCTATCACCGATATCATAGCATCATAGTTATCTGTCTTCTTGTAAGCTAACAACGCTTCATAGAACCGGCTGTAAGTGCTTTGGTTCAAAGCCCTTTTCACATCGCTGAGATAGGACGCCCTGAGGACCTGGTGCTGATCTCTCCTGGAGCTTGAAGCTTTTCCAGTGTCTTTCCTTGGAGCTCGGCTGGCATTCTGCCCTGAGAGACAAACACACACATGTGAGCGGCGCTTGGGAGGAACAGAGACCAACACACTTCCCTTTTCCTTTACCGCTTCGAAGTGGTAAAACCAGCACTGCCTGCACAGCCACATGCCTCGCTCCGGCATGGCCTTGGGCAGAGCCAAGACCTGCTCCTGGAAATGGCAACTGAGGCAAGTCATCCTGGGGATCGCTTTTAGCATCCTCCGGAGTTTTTCGATCTTTCAAAGTGGGAAACGTGTCAGATGGTCACTAGGGAATGAGGAAACGGTGACACAGAAGACACTGTGCGGAGGCCAGCAGTAAATCGGGGTTTGTGCTACACAGGAGGATTTTAAACAGAAGGCTTTGCCAACTACACTGGCTGACACATGGGCGAGTAAACTGTTGGGAGCAGTTTTAAAGGAGAGATTTCCCACCTCTCGTTAATAAAAGCAGAAAAGGCACCTCTAATAAGAGACAAGATAGCACAGGAGCAATGCAGGGGTACAACAGGAGGAAGGAGCAGCTCCGAACATCCCGCTCAGCTCCAAGTGCACTTCTGCGGTCAGCCTTTGACTTCCGAGAGCTTTTAGAGGAAAAAGTCCTGTTTTGCATATTGGAGGTATGCAAATAGGGATGAAGTATACAGTAAGAAACTGATTTAAATTAACCAGCCAGATCTTTTGGTATTTAGCTCTTTATCCTCCACTAAAGCACTTTTAAAGAACATAATGACATTCCAAAAGATAGCCTCAGTTCAGTTTCCTGAAAGGGGAAAACCGTGGGCTTGAATTTTGTAATCAGTGTCTTTCACTGCATATCATACAGCTTTCTGACACTTTCACAGGAGCACACTCAAGGAGTGAGCAACAGAAATATGTGCATTATTGCTATTAATTTCTCAATTGTTTTTAGTAATTATTAGTAATTTAGTAATTATTTTACCAAGTTGCTGTGAAAAATCAATCTCATGGAGCTCAGGACAAAATTACCAAAAGATTGTTTTGTTCAGATGTTCTTAAAATAGAAAACAAAAGAGAAAAGCAAGTCAAAAGAAACAACACTGCTCCATACATAAAAAGATTTTAAGCCTTCCAGGAAACATTGGGTTTATTTATTTTTTTTTTCTCTTTTTAAAGAAAGGATTAACCTTTGACTGTTCTTCACCCTCTCAAGAAAGACCTCTAAACTGTCCAACTATCCCACTCATTTCCTTGTGAGAAATACAAAAAATTCCCAGCTGTTCTCAGGAAGATCTGTAATCACACCATAACTGCTCCTCTGACTTCAAAGATAAATACGGGACAGTAGTAGATTAGAGAATGCAGAGGGATGCCACGTAATTGTGCGAAGACATGTGCTGCTCAGTTTCTGCAGAAAACAGACTGTCCACACGAGGAGCGCGCACGTTACCAGTAACAAAACAGGAACTGTTTTCTTCTTCGTACCTGGATTCCTGTTGACCTAATCTAAAATTACATTCCTTCAACGGTGCTTTCTGACCCTGGACAAGCAGGAAGCCCAGCAGCCCTGGGCTCAACTCACCCTTTCTCTCACTGACGTATGCCAGGTCAGTCTAGTGCAAACTTCTGTCTGGAGTTGGTTTCTTTCATATCCACCTTGACTTGATTTATTGACTTTTTAATAGTTTTGTTTGTACAGTCCTTGTGGAAAATTCTGGATTACCATCACTCCTACCCACAGAGAGCGAGCCACTGTGCTAGGTGAACGTGGAAACCATTGGTTTCCGCCGGGAGAACGTACAGTGACGGAACAAACCACGCACAACTTGGGACGGTGGTTTTATTTAACAGGAAGGGTACCTGCACTACTGAGTCCGGTGGTCAAGTGGAATCTTCCCCGGTTCAGGTGGAGTCCAGGGTTTAGCTGGGCACATGAGTCCTTTGAGAAGGTCGTTTTCTGCTGACTCTGTTTCGATTCTGTTAAAACCAAGCCATCTGTTAACAGTGAACTTAGGGAGAATGGGCAGAGAACGGTGCATTTCAAAGTCCCCCATTCTATGCTGAAATCACGCGAAGATGTGGATGTATTTCTCTGACAAGGGGACGAGCCAACATCCTGCTTTTCTTAGGACTTCACTGTTCCAGGGTTTCAAAGACTTCACAAGCTCTGTGAGGACATGATTATCCTCTACTGGCAATTCTGGTGGCACCATGTGGGTAGCAAAGACGGCACACACCAAGTCTTTAAATCCACAGACCAGATTCACAATTTAAACAGGTCTGTAAAATCCCCTTCTGAAATAAAATGGCATCGTTACTAGCCACAGGGTAACCAGTGCTCAAGCATCTGCGTGCGCTCACGGGAAGGCAGGCAAGAGGATCATGCAGAGTGGAAACTTCGCTCAGTATTAAACAAACTACATTGCCCTCCATCCTCCATTTCTACATATCGGACGCATCTGGCTCTATAACGGGGTAATCAAGTCATTGGACTGCCCAGAGAGTGCAGGAAGAAGCTCCTCACCCATGTCCTTGGCTAGCGTGTCCCTCTCGTCCTGCAGGAGGCTGTGCTCAGGTTTGTAGCCACAGCCCACTCCAGTCAGATTGCAGCATACTTCATCAAACTGCTTTTTATGTTGAGGCCGAACAAACTGGTAGAAGTCTTTCGTTAGAGAGGGAAGAGGGGAAAAAAGAAAAAAAAAAGAAATCAGTCCACAATGGGTAATAAATGCCACAAACCTACAACAGCAGGACCTCTAGGTTAGGCAACACGAAGATAAAAACTACATATAGTTATCAAATATTTACACAATAAGCACACTTATAAGTTACACAAAGGTGTATCATGCACACCTCCAGCAATATTAGTACCAGTCAGTAAGAACTGATTAGTTTCACTGTAAATAGCAAGTAGCTTTCCTCTCCGTGAAACAGGTACTGGCAGCAAAAGGTCGTGATTTACCTCATAATCCCTGGGGTCAGAGTATCTGCTAGGCTGGTACTTTGAATAACTGATATACTGTTCATTTTGCACCTCAGCCTACTTACTGACCATAAAATGCTTGCCAACCAAAAGCCTAAATGTCAAACAAACCTTAGGTTTCAGGTTCCACCACTTTCAAAAAGTCGCTGTAGGCTTTAATTCGGCAATCAAATGTTTTCTTATTTATATAGTAAAATTGGCACATTGGGAGACAGACTGTAGCTACTATTAGCACTAAGCGCTCATCCCAAGCTTCCCATTCCTTAACCTTAAAGTTAACCCTAAACAATATACAAGATGCTTTTTTTCTTTTAATAGATGAGAAGTCACAGAAAAATCTGCCCATTTGCTCACAAGTTGAGAGGGTAATGAAAATTCACAGAGAAAACCCTGCTAAACTAGAAGAAATGTTGGTGGGAGTCCAGTTCCTGTCAGTGCAGTTGTTAAAAGCCAAGAAAACACCAGGTAAACCAGTAAACTCTCCATGCTTGCCCAGATCACTGGCTTTCACCATCAAACTTACTGACAGCTTTAACGCCCAACCCTTTGGGCTGCATTTACCCAGCTCACAACCACACTCCCTCTTACTCCTCAATCACAGCAAATAAGCCATACTACTTTTAAACAAAGTTTAAAATACAAGCTTCCATGGAATGTGGTTTTTTTCGGGCCTGTCAAGATGCAAACTGACATATGGTAATGAGATTGAGATTTTCTGTCTCATCTGGGGATATATAAAGTGATGAATGTTGATGATTCACCTGATTGATCTGTACTTCAAATCTAAACCACTTCCCTCTGAAACACCCAAGTCTATTGGAAAGACAAAGGCCATGTCATAAATACACTGTGAGAGTCCTCATACCTCGTAGCAAGACATGCTTTTTTTCGTCCTCTATAAAGAGAGCGCTCATTTGAGACAGCATAGCATGGAAGTCATCCGTCTTCTTGTAGTTCTGAAGAGCCTTAGAGAAGAGATCATAGTTCTGTTGGCTTAGGGTCTCCTTCACTGTTGCGATGTACGACGTAGCTCTGGCCTTTTTTGGCTCAGTCAGGTCTGTTGTCTTACCACCTGGCTGCCAAGACAGAAGACTTTTCAGTGAACAGTATGGCTTGAGGAGTTACTCACGTGAACGCAGATGAAAGCAATATATTTCAATTCTGCCAGTGATGCAGAACAATCAATGCTTTCCACTAACAGGTTATGGCCTCTTGCATTTATGGTAGTCAGCCCCCTGTTCATGCGTTCTTACCCCCCAAAAAAACCCAAAACAAACAGTTTCAGTGCTGCAGAACACAAATCTAGCTGGATCACCTCCTGGAAACGTCCAATTAACTGAAAAACGTAAAACTCTGAAGCAGGAGCTACAAAGAACAAAAGGTGTTCAAGCCTTTTGGTTCCTCCAAGACATTTCTTGAGGAGACAATACACATGAGCAAGCTACATTATTCTCCTATTGGGAAACATTATTCTACAATCACAAGCAGCAGGGACTTGAGAAAGATTCAAACAACCCCTCCTTTACGAAAGTGATGGCATGACGTTGTGCTCACACATTTCTTACATATTAGCTGTTGGACCCTTGTCACACCTTCATGACAAAACCCAGCGTCACTGGGGCGATCCCGGAGCACAAGTATGTTGTTCATTTCCCCAAATGATTATCAAATCTACTTCTAAAACATAATCCCTCTACCATCTGTGAGTGTTCATTCCCTCACAGAAGAGCAACGCTATTCACCTCTGCTGACAAAACTGACAGCTTCAAAGGAATATTCCTAGAGAAGGCCGCCAAGTATTGCACAACTATGTTCTTCAGAGAAGGCTTAATGAGAGAAACGACACTTACTCCAAACCTCGAGGGCTAGGCTGACTCATCATGACATCAGATAGCAACAAACTGCAAACACAACCTTTTGCAATGAACCTGCTCTCTCCCTCACACCTTGGATATTATCAGCTTCAGGATCGGTGGCTATTTTTAAAATAATCGGTTTCGTTTGCTAGGTCACTGGGAGTCTGACAGCACCCAGTTAGGGCAGTTCGTTGGAGAACTACTAACCCACACAATCACCCAGGGGATTCTCATGAATTTATCATGACTCTTAAGCAACTAGCTGCAGAGTGAGTCAGCTGAGACAGGGCTAAACAATAATACACAACTGCAAACGTCACGCAGTGAGCCACTGCAGGTAGGATTATAGGATGCGATCGCTTACCCAAACAGAACGGGTCAGCTTGAGGCTCTACCAGCAGCTGACCAGATGATGGCTGCAGGTCCCTTCTAACTGTTCTATCTATCCAAAAAGAATGAAACCACCCGCCACACCTGCTCAACGGGAGAGGATGTTCACAAGGTAGCCAATGCCAGAAAACTTGCTGAAACCAAATCTTTGTCAGAAAAAACCCTGTTCACCTACTAGCCCTACCTGGAACTGCGCTTGATTGGGTCTGTGACACCTAGATTTGAGAAAGCATGTGACAGAAATAGATTGCAGAGGCACACTGATAAATATTTACAATATGGAGAAAAGAGATAATTGTTCTGGCAGTCAGTCATCTGTCTGCCTAGAAATTTCCAATTCAAATTAAAGCAGCCCGCAGATCAAAGGGATGGCACAGACACATGAAAGCAAGCACATACTGTATTGCTGACTAGCTTTATTTTCTTCCTTCCTCCTTTCTGCTCATCTGTTAACCTCTTCTCATACTGGAGGGAGAGTGTTGACAGACGCTGTGCCTGAGAAAATTAAAAGAAGAAGTGTCCAAAAACATGCTTTTCATAGTTACTGCCCATTTAATTTAGCCATTTCCAGTAGTAAAGCTTGTTAACCCAGTTTGTGACACCAGTCAAGAAATTGAAACAAGCCAACCTGGATTATTGCAACAGAGCAACACATGCATGTTTCCAGAAGGTAATCACCCACTGGACAGTTCAGAAAGAGGTCAGAACAGAGGAAATTAAACACAGCATTTGTCTCGAGGGTGCAGACTCCCAATTAAGCAAAACTGGACTTAAGAGCTGACTGCTTCAGGGTAGCCCTGGGAGTGTACCTGTAACTGCTGCCTCACATGCCCCTTCACTTTCCTGCCTGGAAGTACTTCTCTTCCGAAGATAACCTGTGTCAGGCTTTTCCTGGGCTACTGAGAAGGGAAGCCTAAGCAGTCTTGTAGAAGATATCAGGGCAGATAGGATGAGACAGCAGCAGGAACACTTGTGGCTTGACAAGCTCTTTAGCATCTCCCGTTCCCAGTAACAAAGAACTGCGCTTGTACTGCAGCAACTGGGAATATTGGTGTATAAAAAGCTCCAAAAGAGAAGTGAGGAGGCATAAACAAGAGGAGCAGAATTGCTTAATAGCAGAGTCTCCAGTATTCAATCAAGCCAGTATCAACCGCATTACAAACAATCCCGTAAGTAACAGAAGAAACCACGGGATAGCTCCACATTGCCAGTTGGTTTCTACATACCTGTTGAGGAAGCAGATATGCAAAGTCATTTATTGCTTTACTCTTGCCCAGTAAGAGAATTCCGCAAGTACGTGACTATCCGCACATTTGTGGAATCGTGGTGTTCAGTTGTGGGAGGAACCAGGGAGATAACAGTATCCTATATCCCACTCGGATATAAATGTGTCTGTTCAGGCCACGGAGCTGCAGAGCCCCATTACACTAATTACAAATAAACACCACCACTAGAAATAAACAAACCCCTAAGTCAATAACCTCAGATCTGCCAGCCTGGAGAGTCAGTTGCTGATCCTCAGAAACCCAATCTTCAGTGCACTCAAAGCTGCAAGGATACCGGATTCCAGACAACCCTGACCGTGACTTATGTGCACATATAAGTATAATCTAGTTAAGCATCACGTAACAGAGCGAAGAACTGGAACACAAGCAGCAAGTCAAACGCTTATGAGACAAGCGTTAAGTCAGAAAAACGATCAAAATACTCTTAATCTTGGACTACGTAAAGGCACCACCCTGAGCAGCAGCATCCTGAAGAAATAAGGCTTCTAAAAGCCAAGTTTCCATAAGGCATAGCTCAAGGAAAACTGTTTATGGGGAACTGTCAGATCATTCTTTAAGTGGATTGAGAGACTGTTCCTTGTATTTTGGTTTTTTGACATGACCAAGGCTTCTTTTCTTCTTTTTCACCTCAAGCAAATAGTTTCAGAATGACAGCAGCTAATTTTCCATTTTTTTATGGAACAATGGTACACTGTAACCTTGGGGGGAAAAAAAAAAGTAACATGGATACTGTGAGGAGTGGTGAAGATAGATATGAAAGCACACCCCCCCATCACCCTTCCAAATCCAGGGCTCATTAAAATCAGCTTGATGCTAGACACCGTGAAAGCCGAGGCACTGCATGTCCCGGGACTACAGTGCCCGCATCCCTGGTGCCAGGGATCAGCAGTTTAGGTGCGGCACAGGATGACCCCACAGCCACAGACGAGCGGCGATGCCGAACACAGACAGCGGGCACAAGGCGACTCGGTGCCGAGCAGTCACGGCCGTCAGCTTGTCTGCCTTCAGGAAACGCTGAACTACGGCAAGAGCAGCGCAGCTGTGTTAACAAGATACTGCAGCTGAGTTGCCAAGTCCCTGGAGATGCGCCAGGTTCCTCAAATAATGCGTTCTGGTATCTATACCATGATGGCCCACGGGTGATGGGGCAGATTTCTCCCTCAGCTGCACAAGTTAAACATTCCCTGTCCTCGCTTGTTTTGCCAAGTCCGTACATTCCCTGTTTTGTACGCATACCCATCCACCTCCCTTAAGTCTCCTAAGATATTCCCCAGATGCTCCTTAGCCTCCACACTTTCCCCCTAAGCAAACTACTTCGATATGTTGCAACAGGCCTTCCTTTAGTCCACGCACTGGTTATCAGCTAAACTGCAAGCCAGCAGTAAGATACTCCTGCTGATGGTGCCCAGGTAAGGGAGCTATCCTGCCAACTGCAAAGGGAGAGCAAGAACACAGCCTCGTCACTGATGTATTAAAAAATCCAATTCAAGGGGAAAGAAAATTAGCAGGACAGGAGCAGTGTTCTTGGTCTTCATGCAACAGTGGATATGTGATTCAGATAACATTCTGCAAGTCTGCAACATTCACTCTGAGGCAAATCAAAGATTTTTTCACCTGGAAGTGCAATTTCTTATTTAACACACACCCCCAGCCTTGTTTTAATTCAATATCTGGTCACATAACAAGTGCTGACAGAATCCATTCTGGAGAAACTGTTTATCTACCAACCTCCGAGAGCTCTTTGCTCTCCAGACATCCAGGTTCACTTCCAGGAATCTACACGGTCAGCAGGTATGGAGCACGTACAAGTACCTATGTGTCGGTCACCTAGTTGAAGCGGCAAGGAAACCCCTTTGATTAAGCTTAATGATGAGAACTTGCAGTTACCAGTGCTGCTTGTTGTGAGTTTTTCTTGCAAGAGGGTCGAGCTGGTGCTCTTGCATCAATCCCAAACTCTTTTTGCCTTAGAGCCCACAATTTTCACTTATAAGCAAGTATTTTACTACATCATTGCTATTACCTTCTCCTCTCCTGACAAGTCACCTTCCTCTTGGGCATCTTCGCTGCTCTTCTCACTGCGCTCCAACGCATCCAGGAGTCCAGCACATCGTCTTCTAGGCGAGACGAACTCTTGCTCGTATTCCACGCACAGGCTGGGTGCTCCATCTCCATTTACTGCCATCACAGCATAATACAGGTGACAAATTAACATTCCACATGCTCTCTCACATTTTCTTTGCCTTAGTACTACCTCCAAATCCCGTATGTAGCAACCCACTATGCTGTGAAACACTAGCTCAACCAGCACGTCTCACAAACTTGCACTCTGACTTAATAAGTAGATTGCTTTGGTTAATCACTCCTAAAATTGCTCAAGCATTTGTTACCACAACTTGGTGGATTTCTCTCAAACTTTTCCTTAAGGGATGGTCATATTTAACCTCAAAATTACTTTGGGTCAATGGAAAAAAAAGAAGTCTTACAGCAACAGTTGTCTGTGTTGAACTTCTTTAGCTTTACGGACTTCCCAAAACCCTGTCTCTAAGAGATTCTAGCATGAAATATGCTTTATTAAACAGAACAAGTTTATTTGAAGCCTACCATTCTCACGGTGTCAATACCTGCAAGAGACAATCACCCTCATGTCCCAAGAACACAGGCTCTCGCTAATCAGGATCCAGGTATATTTGGGTTTAAAATATAAGCATTTAGAGCTGTAGGTAGTGTATTTTGCTATTTCTAAAAGGCATTCTCTTCAAAATATATTTCCGTGGTTTTGTGAAATTACTTCAACAGTCAGTTGCTAAGAAAAGTCACTATTTTGAGAAGAATGGAAGTATATTACAGTATAAATCAGTAAGTCAGGACAAGAAACTTTAGCCAAAACTCCGATTACAGGCGCAGTTTGATGTTACAGCTAACGCAATGTATCTGAAACTCGGTATCAAGAGAGGCAGTGCAGCTTCTTCCCTTCACCTACGATGGTACATTCCAGCCCACTCTTTGAGATGCATCTACCAGTCACAGGGATGAGAGGTAAATTGGCTCAAACTCATCTGTTTGCCCTGCAGTTGCTCAACAGATGGATTCCCGTCGGGGGAAGGAGTGTAAGCACACGGTTGGAAACTGAGGGAGAAGCAAGCGGTGGCGACAGCAAGCCTTTTCAGTAACCACCTGCAGTCAGCGCTGGCTTAGATGCAACATGAAATCACCCCCACACTCAGTCCTAACTGGTGTAGAACAACAGTTTTAAACACAGCTTCATTGTTCTGTTCCAAAGCAGCAAGCAGTCTAGAGTGGAACATTCTGAAAGAGTATCTGACGTGAGAAATACTTAATTCTTTGGCATCAGCCAACCTCAGGTTTTAAACTACCATTTTATTCCAAGATCAATGCCCTCTTCCTGTTTTCTTAGTCAGATTACTGTGCAGGAGTCGTTTTTACAACAGGATGGAGAAAGACATAGGAAGTCAGTGCTAGTCAGAAACAGACTTCCACTTTTTTTAATTATCAATGATACCCCAAACTCCTCCTGTGCTGCAGGACACTTTCAGGCCCCACCTGCCTCTTTGCTCCGCATTTGCAACTAGTCCCTCCCTTTTCTAATGCCAAGCTACGTCCTTTCTGACCAGACTTTTACGTCAGGCTTTGACCTCTCCTTGCTTTCTCTCCCATTCCAGTTTCAAGTCTCTTGCTCCTCCTTTTATGATTCATCCTAAACAAAAAAAAAAACAAACACAAAACCTTTATCTATGAGTAGCCAAACCTACCTTTTCTTTTCCTCTTCAAACTGGGAACATGGTCGTCCAAGTTTTTAGCTTTTTTCAGGGAGGGGAGCTGCTCAAATGAAGTAGACGGTGCCGTATCGCTTTCACTTAGGGAACCAGCAGAGCCAGAAGGATGTTGTGGCAGGGGTGGAGGCATCTGCAAGCAGTTTACAAAATGTTACAGGAGGCAAGAGCTACTCTTCCACTCCACCTCCTTCACAACCAAAAATCTCAGCAACAACCCAAAGACATCTCCTTTTTCCCCAAATAACCCTTGACAGCCAGATTGTTACAGGTTCTGGATTTATCTGCTTTTGAAGAAAGGATCAAATACTGAGGAAGCAACACAGCGGTGATGTGTAGTAAGCAGGCTGAGCACTAAGTGACCCATGGAAGAAAAGGTCAAGACCATGCTAAGGAAGAGTTGCATCCTAACACGACCCCTGCAACACAGCTCATCCGAGCAGAGCACGTCGGGTTGTGGCGCTTATTCACCATGAAACTCCTGTCTATGATCAGAAAAGTCATCCGGCATCATCCATCTGTAACTTACTATTTTGAAAAACTTGCATTTGGCTAAAGCATCTTCCAGGAAGACGTCCAAGACTGTATGTGGAATTTAAAATCTATTTTGATCTTAATCTCCATTTTGGGGACAAAATCTCCCACTCTGGCTTCCAGCCCATTTCTTGCTACAACTTTCTCCAGTCAATTAGAAAGCCTTTTTACAATATTACTTTTTAAATTGAGGAACTAGTACTGAGAAAGAGAGCTTCTAATGCTACAAGAGAAGCCATATTACAAAGGTGACCCAGTGATGAACTGTAATAACAACAGATGGGTTCATCCCACTCTTCATACCAGTCTGATTAGATTCAAATTTAAGGGTCTAACTAATTCTTCCCCACAAACATCTCCCGCGAGGGTGAGGCAGAAAGGTTTTTGATGGTAACATCCTTCCAATATTGGCACATCATCCAATGAAAGCTATGTTTGCTTAGGAGGGACCGGAAGAGGAAGTTATTTCTGTGATCTAAGCTAATGAGTTGCACAGCATGACCACACATCCTGTCCCAGCTCACTCTTGTAGAAAGATGAGGCATATCTCCTTTCCCGTAAAGCTTCCACTGCTTAGAAGTGAGAGAGACTCCATCACATCTCTCACCTGGCTTAGTGTTTCCAGTTTGCAACACTATCAAGAATTATTAGTTAAGGTTTTGTTTGTTTATTTTAACACACTTACAACTTCCTGAGCAACACGGAAGAAGAGGGATACGCTCCTGACTGCATGCCCAAAGTTGTTGTAAACACTGACGTAAGGGCGGACCCATGAAGGCAGCTTGCCTCTCACTTCACCATTTGAGAACCTGCGTAGGGTTGGAAGAGGACAGAATTATTTGCCAGGTTGGCCTAAATAAGTTAAACAAATGCTAGACCAGGGAGCGAAAGGACAAGGGAGGAGCAGCAAGACAAAAGGTTGAATGAGTGCAGTAAGTGTACAGGGCTGATGCCTTCACTAAGCAGAAAAGGGCTTTGTTGATACCACTTAACCAGCCAATTCTTATCTTTCACCTATAAAATCTTTAACTGTGCAACAGTAGTACTGAACAGTGACATGCTCACTGTTCACAGTCAAGCCTCAGCATTGACGGCTGTAAGTCAGACTCCTGTTGATTATACACACACTTTATTAATTAATATTATATTCATGGGTATTAATGTAATATAACATTAATGTTTTGTATTACTATAGATGATATTGTGTCAGCAATACAGTTTTCCTCATTTTCATCCTCCTCTCAAAAACCACCTTTGGGTTTTTTTCCTTTTGAGAAGGTGACTGCCTTCTCAAAGCAGAGATGGAGAAAATGCAACCCCAAAAGTTACTGTCACATCATTTCCAGCAGCACTACAAACTTGAATTCAACAAATTGGTGTATTTCGCATTATCACCATTAATCCCTTTCTGCAGCTCCAAGACCCTACGCTTCAGCAGCAGAAGATAACCAACTAGTTACTTCAAGTCTATAACCTGTTACATTACAATAATTCAATTACTTATGAACTGTAGCCTTGTCCAAGCAGTAACATCCCAGTATTTCCATACAAAATATCAATTCCCTTGCTGGGCTATAAAGATGTTGATGTATGTTTATGTTCTAGAGGCAAGGTTTCACCTGTTGTCACACAGGAAGATAGCACCGTAGTCTTGGCGGTGTCTGATGACCCTGCCGATAGCCTGATTAACGGCCCGGGAAGCTTGCTGATTGTACCACTCACGCCCAGATAAATACTGCAAGAGGTGGGAGGAAGAATTAACATTATTTGTCAGGTAATATGGATTCTTTGTGCTGTACAGTCACTATTTCTTTCTAAAGAAACTTAAAATATGTATCCAACAAGATCTACTGACAAATCTCAAAGCCTCGGAAAACCAAATACAGGTTGACTTGAGTATCACAGCCAACTTACAGCACACAGAAAACTCAATATCCAACTTGAGGGGCTATTTAGTATAAGATGCACCGACAGCCCTGGTAGTACAACAGACTCACCATGTTAAGACCTAACAGCTATCCTGCATGACAACAAACTAAATTTTAGTGCCATTAGTTCCCAAGCCTGAAGCCACAGAAAAACAAATCCAAACCCACAACAAAAAAAACCAAAACAAAACACCCCAAACCCCTCCCCGCCAGACCCCCCAGACCACTAGAACAAAAATCTCCAAGCCAGCTGGGACAGGCAATTCTCCCGCTCACCCGCTCTCTGGATGAAATAACTCCCTCAGAAGGAGAGATGGGTAACATGCATACAAAGATTTTGACCGAAACGTAAATTATAACATTTTTTGTGCCTGTATTTGACTGGTATCATATCACTGGAGACAGAATTCAGAACCCTTCCCTTTGTTTTAAAAAGAAAAAGTGACTGTGAAAAGCACCCAAAGTTGGTCAACTTTTTGATATTCACAGTCCCATGAGACTTGGGAAGATAAAAGCCAAAATCCACGGAGTCAAGAGGGAGAAACAGTGACAGGAACCTGCAAACAGGCAGCAGTGAAGAGCTGCCCAGTATTACCTGTGCACCTGCACCGCTTTTTTTCATTTCATCCAGGAACTGCATCTTTAAAACAACCCTGGGGTCCATACGAGGGGGAAACGGAAGCCCAGTAATGATGACTCCTCGTCCATTCATGTTGGCAAAGTCCAAGCCTTCGCTGGCCTGAAGAGACAGTGTTTTCCATTATCGACATATTCTGAAGTGACATTCGGAGCAATTCAGCAGTCACTGGCCTTTTTCCTCCGTGAAATTAAAACCCTAGCCAAGCATACTTGATGAATACATTATGAATAGTTTCAATTGGGGTTTTGGCTGTTATTACCAGGACCCTAAACTTAGCTTTTTCCTCTAGGAGGCACTGGACAAAGCTACTTCAGACTACACCATTAAGGCCTAATGTCCTATTCCTGGGTAAGCAGAGCAGCTGCATTCAGAAAAGGCCTTAAATGTCAGTCAATACCTCTGTTTAAACCTTCCATACCCTGAATTCTTCACAAGATGTGACAAGAACACAGCAAACGTTCTCTGACATTAAAAATGACCAGAATAGTTTCAAAGCAATACTGGAAAGCTCCCAGAAATCTGTTTGGAATCAGTGTCATACCCAGCAGCTACACTGATTACACCTTCTCAAGTATTTCCCACTCCTGCTCCCTGGACATGCTCACAATTCCCAGGCAAATCACCTTGTGAGATGAACAAAACCAGAGTTGAACAGGCTGAAAAACAAGTCTGAGAAAAAAAAAGTTGGTTTGTGTTCAGCAGAATCCAGTCTCCAGCTGGTTTTTCAGCGGAATCCATCCTCCCATCTCATTCACCATACCCCACAGGCACTGTGATGGACTAGAACATCAGGGAGGGACGGGTGGGTGGAATGAGCAACTCTGCCTGGCTCAAAAAACACACGCTGCCGCTAAGAAAAGCGATCGCAGCACGTGCGGGAACCCATCTGCAGCTGGCAGTCGTGCAGTTGTATTTATGGACATTCTGTCTTGGGCACAAAGAAAATCCTACGCCTTTTCTTCACTGATCTAACAGCCTCTTTGGAGCCTGGGACTGAAGCTTCAAAGGGAGCTGAATCTTCTCTTGGTAGGCAGTAAGCAGCAGCAAAAAGGCTTTAAGAGTAATTTATGGTTCTGTAAATTTCCACTGATTCATAAATCAGTTTATCAGCACTGGAATATAAATGAAAGGGCATCAAGTGTGGCCAGAGGAACTGCAGTTCAAAGCTGAGCAGTATTTTTGATTTTCAGCAGTGTTGTTCTAACACGTTTAGATTAGAGATTTTTCTTTTGGTTCTTTCTCCGAAACTGTTGTTCTCATCTCATGAGCTGAGTTTTTGACGAGCAGCCAACAGGAAACTGTATGATGCTCATCCCCTTTGAAGAACCCAAAGATGGATCCCCTTCAATAAAAACCACAATGAGGCATATGTAAACTTGAGAGAATTTTGAAAAGGCTTCGGGGCATCCTACTTCCCTCATTTTTTTCTCCACATGTAATTAGTCACACCACAGACATGCACTGAAATCCAGAACAATGGTTTTTTCATCCGCTACATAATCTGATCTCAGATGAAATTAATTTTGAGTTACATTACCTTCCCACGACATACTGCCAAGAAAGCAGCTCCGTTGGATTTAGGACAGGCAACTTTATCATAGTATGCACCCATTACCTAAAAGATAAACCAGTTTAAGCAAGATTTGAATGGTGTCCTTTGCATATGCATAAGTAAAAACCTGTACTAGCTCAGTTTGCCCGAACACGAAGATCTAAAAGCATCATTCATTTGGCTTACTAGATTTTTCTTTACTAGTTGCAAATGCGAGAAACCGTTTGCTTCACAAAATCCTTACATTACTATGAAATCTAGAATACACCTGGGTAAGCATAAAAGATGAATGTCAGACACTGCTGAAGAGAAGGTAAAACATCATCTGGCCGGTGTTTGTGCAGATCCTTAACTAAGCAAACCAGGAAAGCAATTCAAGGATATTATTTACTCTAAGAAGCAAACAGAGCAGCTATAAATAACAAGATGACACTGCACAATTCTTTAACACCCAAAGCATAACAAGCTGGGAGGACATGACAAAACATTAGAAGATGCTGACTCTGAGGTGACCGCTCTACTGCCCCCATTGCTCAGTGCACATGTGCATCAGCCGCCGTTACACCAATGGATTTCTGTACCCGGCGCAACTGGCCAAAGAGTAAGGGATGGATGCATGGGAGAGCTGTACTTCAGATCTCAGAGTTGCAGGTTTATCCTAGGATAAACACCCAAACACATCTTAGACAAGGTATTTAAACATAAAACCGGTTTCTGAAAATGTAGAAGTATGAAATCAACCTCTGAAAAGCTTCCTTTGTCCCTGGGTTCCACAAACATTGGCTTCACTTCTTCTATTCTTTTAGCAAAATCATGCTCCTGCCAAGCAGAAAACACACATCAGAAATGGCCATGTGAAAGTAAGCGCATTCCGGAAATCCCTACAGGGAAGGAAGTGCTCCCGAGAGGTCACCGCAGACTTCCCCAACGCAGTCTGTTCTGCTCTTGCCAAACACAGGAAGAGATGGAAGCAGAAACATGCAATCCTAACTCCACTAACAGTAACTCCTTGCAGTTGGGGCCACTTAGACATTACGCAGATGGGAGATCCATTTCTTTCCCTTCCAGCTTGCAAGTTCCCAACATCCACCTCCCAGAGTCCCACTCTGCAGTATGACAGCTCTGCCCCAGAGCTGCACTCACTTTCAAGGAGAAGGAGCATTTAAAGCAAAACTGTTCTACCACATCCTCACCAGGGACACTCAAATCACGAGCACAGCAGTTAAACGTTGCAGCTGCAACAGCTACAAGTTCAAGATAAAAGAGGAATGTTCATACTGGGATTTTCCCCCCACCCCCAAGAGCTGAAGTACTTAGGCCAACCATAATTTGGAGGTTTAATAAAGAGAAGTCTGGTAAAGTTAAATGAACTCTGAGATCAAATCAGATGATATAATTTCTACAAGACTGCATTTCAGTGCATTGTGACAGAATAAGCTGACTTGGGTTTTTACCTTCCAGATGTTATAATTTACTTATTAACAAATAATTTTTAATGAGCATGGTTAGATAGCATAACTACAAACTGTCTGACATGCAACCAAACCACCTAATAAAGGTAGGGCACTTAACATACTCTCCAATATTTCAGGCTCTTATCCATGACAGGATACGATGGGAAAAACACCAACAGTCCATGGGGTACCACTCGCACAAGATTACCTGCAATGAGATAGACAAGAGTATAGCTGAGGGCATTTTCATCCTGGGATGGAGTACAGATTGCAGAGGACAAATAAACCATGTGTGGGATCCTTCCAAAGTCTTTTCTGCTTCCTTGATGTGAATGTTCATGTATTAGAAGTTGCTACATTTTAAAAAGTCATTTCAATAATCTTGTTGTCAAGGTATAAACTTTAATACAGATGCCTAACTTTTTAAAGCTTAGTGTTAACAGGCTAAAAGATATTATGAGCTACACCAAACACTTAGAGATGAAAGAGATAGAACATCATCTACCTTATTTTCCCTTGTCACAGGAGGACCTATTTTTAGACAATTTTCTCCACTCTTTGTCCACTGCAGTCTAAACCTTCTAAACCAGTCTAAACCAGTCATAACCAAAACAACAAATGCTGACTTAAGGCAAGCTCAACACAGCACCTTTAAAAATATCCCAAGAAATTGCATTGACTTCTGGTGATCCTTAATTTCTTCCTGGGGAGGCACTGGGACAGGTTCCCAGAGAAGCTGTGGATGCCCCATCCCTGGGAGTGTCCAAGGCCAGGCTGGATGAGACTTGGAGCAACCTGGTCTAGGGGAAGGTGGCAGGGGGGTAGGACTAGGTGGGCTTTGAGGTCCCTCCCAACCCAGACCATACTGTGATTAATTGCTCCGCAAATGATGTTTGGCTGCATCACCTCTGCGCATTGTTTTTTCTAGTTTGCGCTATTTTCTGAACACATTTTTGACCCAAACAAACACCCAACAATAAACCAAGGACTAAACTCATTTGTGTATGCAACTGCAGTAGCCACTTGCTTGCGCAAACAGAAGTGTACAAAGTCAGACATCTTTAGGTATGCAATGCAATCCTTTACTTTTATCTGTCTCATTATGTCTTCTTTAGTATTTCTCCTGCTAGGAGATTTCTAAGATTCCTGTGCAACAACTCATTTCTGAAATCTGCATACTTCACTTACCAATTGTTTTCCCCAGAGAAGACAAATAACCCTCTGTAAACCTATAAGAATAAAAATCAAGAAACATTATTTTATTTTCTATGTTTTTCATACATATTGACTTCCTCTGATATTCATCACTAGAACAGTACATCCATACTCCCAACTGCTTTCCTTCCTGCGGCAAGCACCCATGCCAAGGACGCAAAATTACTAATGTCTTGATTACACATTACTATGAAATATTCTTATTAGCACTGAGGGTGATCTAAGCTTCAATATTAAACTGTAACAAGTGGAAATGAGCAGTCATACTGCCAGAAAAGTTTGCAGATGCTGCCAAGCCTGACTAACGCTACAGCTATTTAAAACGATTATTGATGAACTAGGTGTGGTGATGCTCCAGGGGCAAAAAGGGTGAATTTGGTTACTATGGTTATTTGCTTGTGGCATAATCCAAGTAAATCACTTCTGCTTCAGCTACAGAAGTGCTGCTCTACAGTGAACAGTACCATCTGTTTCTTCCAGCCTGGACTGAAGAGTCCCTGTTCTCTCATGCCTTCACTTTTCTTTCTTTACTGCCCTGCAGTTTTGCATACTGTTTTCCCAGGAAACTTAAATACACAGGGGAAAAAAAACCAGGAACATACTTATTTTTGCAAGAGGTACAAATACTGGTATCACCACACAAACACTGTCAAAACACAGCAAACACTGTAAATTCCCTTCCTTCCAAAACAAAGGTGTTCTAGGCCTTAGGGGGGATCCGCAACCTTCCCCCTTCAAAGGGCAGCATCTTCAACCAACTACACTGAAACAGCACACTAAGCTTCTCAAAGTGAAAAACAAAAGAGACTGAGGGGTTTCCAGACTTCTCTGTAAGACTCAATTGCAATTCCTAAGTCCCTTTCCAGTTCTATGGAACATCTGGCATTTTCCCCCTTTTTTTTCAAGTAAACACTTGACTAGAACTATTTTTTAAATTTTTCTGTATTGCTCAAAGAGTAAGTCAGGCCTGCAGCAGGCTAACTCACAGAATTCTCAGAGATTTGTCCATATTGAGACTGAAATAGATTTTAAAATGTGCCGACACAAAAACGTGCATACTGCAGGCAGAAAGTTGAATGGAGGAACACGTGTATCAGACTCAAGGAACTGATCCTCATTCAAAAATACTACAGAAGAGACAGTTCCCCACCAACTTCAGTGCGAGTCCTTCCCACAGCTGCAGTTCTTATCAAACTGCTCCAGTGGGTCCCCCCATGGGGTGCAGCCCTTCAGGAGACCCCGCTCCAGCCTGGCCCCCCCGGGGTCACAAGTCCTGCCAGCAAACCTGCTCCAGCCTGGGCTCCTCTCTCCATGGATCCCCAGCTCCTGCCAGGAGCCTGCTCCAGCACGGGCTGCCCACGGGGTCACAGCCTCCTTCGGGCATCCCCCTGCTCCGGCGTGGGGTGGGTCTGTGCCCCCCTGTGACCCCCCATGGCTGCAGGGCACAGCCAGCCTCACCATGGGCTGCCCCACGGGCTGCCGGGAACCTCTGCTCCGGCACCTGGAGCATGTCCTGCCCTCCTTCTCCCTGACCTGGGGGGCTGCAGAGCTGTTCTCACATCCCACTCCTCTCTCCACTGCATTTGAGCAGGGTTTTTTTTCCCCCCTTTCTTAACTGTGTTACCCCAGAGACACTACCACCGCTGCTGATGGGCTCCACCTTGGGTCTGTCTTGGAACCGCCTGGCACTGGCTCTATAAGGACACAGGGGAGGCTTCTGGCAGCTTCTCCCAGAAGCCATCACTGTAGCCCCCACCCTCAGCTACCAAAACCTTGCCACGCAAACCTAGTACAAGTGACAAGAACTGAACCTTATGTCTTGTGCACCAAAGCATGAAACTGCCTTTTAAAGTTACTGGCAGCGATGCCAACGAGACTATCATATTGCACAACAGAAGTCAATATACAATGAAATCAGGCTCTGGCCTTCCTTGCTGGCAGTATATTCTATTGGCAGAAGCTGCAGCAGCAACACTGTCTACTCTGAAGACGCAGACAAAATGAAAGACCAGAGAAAAGCAACACAAGTGACGATGAAAAGCTTGACAGTTATTTGGATATGTTTTCCCTAAGAAAGCAATACAGATGTGAAGGAGAGGCTGGTCATGGTAAAAAGCTTTAAATCTGAAAACAGTTGTTGCAAAGGCCAGTCATGGTTCAAATCAATTAAGCTTTCAGCAAAGAAATTTAGGATGAGGCTCTATGTCAGTGAGGGTGGACTGCTCAGTAAGGTGAGGGAGGTGGTGCCAGAGGATGCCATGAAGGCATGATAAGGATGACAGGAAGGTCAGGGGTCTTGCCAGCCAGGGCCCAGACCCACACTAACAGAGCAAGGCAAAGCTCAGATGCAGAAGCCAGGCTCAATCCAAGCCTGGATCATCAAGCAAAGTCATGGTGACAGGAAAGGTCCAAGGTCAAGCCAAGAATGCAAATCAGTAAACCAGGAGCAGGTCCAGTGACAGTAAGGAGTGTCACAGTTCAGTGATGGCAAGGCAGGTCTGAGGTTAAACTGGGAAGTCGATCCGAAGGTCAGGATGAGATCAACAGGGTCTATGGCCAGGTGTGGTTATGACGGAGCTGGAGAACTCCCCCAGTTTGGGCAGTGACTGAAGGCCTATGCCAGACCTTAAGAGGGACTGCTGGGCAATGGTTGTGAGTGGACTTCTGCCCTGAGGCTAGCCAGGGCCATTAAGGACCATTAGTGCACTCAGTGCTCTGACATTTCATCCCTTCCAGCCCTCCAGTTCTAAGTTTTCTACAGTAGTGGTTAAAAGCTGTAATTATTCAGCACAGTTCTTTCCTTGGATAAACACTACACAGACCACTTATTACACCAGCACCCTCCTGTAAGCAGAACCCAAAGTGTTTTGGAACCTGAGACCTGAAAGCAGAATTCCACATGGGAGTTCATTACCTTTTTTCATAGGTAGAAGTAAGCACAGTTCCATCAGGTCCCTTAGGAATGATCCCAACCCAGAGCTGCTGTTTATCGATAACATGAGGATTCTCCAAGCAAACAGGAAAAGGGCTAAGGAAACACAAAAGTAAGATCCCAGTCATATTTGTTACATGATTCCCTACTGGCTACCAGGCCAGAACAGTCAAAAATCCTGAGATAAAACCTAAAATCACGAAAGCAGATTGTACGTTTTCAGTAATTGTACTGTTCACACATCCAGGTACTTACATCTGCATTTCCATTGTAAACGATGACAGGGGGGAGAGTGTCCCACTGGTAAGGATAATTGTCCTGACTCCCTGTCGAACAAGCTCATGCATGCTGTATCCAGGGCTGAAACACCAATAGCTTAAGGTCTTTCCTGCATCAAATAAAGACAAAACACTAAGAAGCAAGTCTACAAGTGGAAAAATTAAAATATGACTAGCACATAGCATCTGAACTTTTCAAAGTAAAACAGCCGGCATCTGGAGCTAAAATTCCAGATGTATGGTATATTCTGCTTTGTCCTTCCAGATTTAATTACTGCGCCCACTGAAAATCTAGTTTAAGAGGTATTGCTCCCTCACACCTTATGTGGATAATACTTTTAATCAAAAGATGGTTACAGAAAAGACAGAGCATCAGATCTTTTTGTCGGCAAGTAACAGGCAGATTGAGCCAATAAAACTATTCAGCCCTCCATCCACTGATTCACTTCCTGCTGTCAAGTGCAACTGGATGGGGAAGCAGGGTGGAAGAACTGCAGAATACAGGGATGAAAGAAATAACTGAAATCCCTAAAAAAACATCTCCACTCTTACTTGAAGAGAACCACCCTGTCTCCATCAGGAATTTCCTATGACTATAAACCTTTCACCTAAATGTTCCATTTTCCCCACAGTCAGCTGTCAAACCTTTCAACTTCACCTCAAATCCCCCGCGGGATGTAGATGCACAATGTGCATCACACTGAAGATCTGGCACAGCATAAGTTAGGACAGGATTTAAATAAAACTGGATAAATCACACTAGCCACATTGCTCAGCTTATAGTGGTACCGTCGCTGGTCTTGCTAAAAACAGCCTCAGAGACAGTCAAAGAGACAAGGGAATGAAACGTCATCTATGCCAGGAACAAGAGCAGTCAAATGGAACCTCAACTTTTGTTTCTGATTGTTTTGCATGATTGGTTTCAGTGGAAAAAATATCTAGCATCCACCTATCATGTGCCTGTCTTAAATGTACACGCTCCCTTTAAAGACTGTTTCCAAAAAGGAGCCAAGCGTTTCAGGAATTCCCCAGCAATATGTGCCCAGTGAGTCACCTACTACAGAATTACAAGACAGCATTTATTTTAATGCTAGTTTTATCCTTCCATCTCATCTGGGCCAATCTATCCAGATGGACATACTCAGATTCTAGAAGAACCACATTCCAAAACTGAGCAAATTCGGTATCTTTAACTCACACTAAGAATTGGTGTAAATCACAGTTAGAGTGTGGGTATGGACAGGCCGGTAACCACCTACAGACAAGAGGAAGGCGTCTATGTCAGGAGCCTAAGAAATTCCAGCATAAAAGCAAGCTGTGCTGATAGGGGATGGCCTAGAAGAGATGCACACCGCTCAAACGTTCGTCTCGCCAATGCTCAATTTGAAACACACCCCTTGGTGACCCTGCAAGATGACTGCCGGGCACCAGCTGCCTGGTTCTAGGAGAAGCTGGAACTGTAGCCCATTTTTAGTCTGGTGTTCTGCAATTAAGTCTTAAGGCTCAATAGGAAATCCATTTTAAAGGTCTTGTTCACCAGCAGGAAGTGTTGGAAGTTATATATAGCAGATGTCTGCAGCAGCTTCATTCCTGGTGGAAGGACAGCTAATCCAAGGAGAAACGGTTTGCTGATAGTTCGTAACACCATGATTTAGAGCAAACCAAGAGCAAGTGCATTTTATCTCAGTGTAACTCTGCAACGGTTCACTACGGCATCCCTAAGTGGCATCTGTGCACGGCACAGACAGCTAGGACAGTAATCTCGTCAGCTACTCCAAGACATGCCACTTCTCCTCACCAATTAGTTTGTAGAGAATTATGCTTGAGTGAAAGATTTCCACAAGATCCTTTGGAATCAGCTGGTCTTAAAAGGTCTGCCTTATTTCTATACAGTCTGCTACACCACTACAGGAAACCAGAGTCTTGCTCAGTCTTGTCTGGCCTCTGCTAGGTTTGCACACAGTGCAGGTCTCAACAAATTGCTAGGCTGTTGCACAGGTACCCACAAACACTGTTTTTTATTTGAAAGGCAAATATATCAGTGTCTACTAAATCACAGAAGAGTTCTGACTGCTTAGTGTTGGTTTTGTGTATAAATCCTCCAAATTATGCAATAAACCTAGAGTGTTATTATTAGCCTTTTGCTGCACACATATTTAACCAAATCTACTTAGAATTATTCCTGTAACTTCAAACTCCAGTTGAGCAATCTCTCAGGAAAACAATATTTGCAGATTACCAAACAGCACGCTTCTGTTCAGAAACAGAACAGAACTTACTTTGTGGAAACACTTAAGGGGACATTATGTGCAAACCCACTAAATTCATGGAAACTCTTTCTTTGAGAAATGTGACTGTACTCCTTAAGAGAGGGACTTTTATGAAACACATACTTACACTCTCAAGAGCATTTAACAGGGTAATTAAGTAGATAGTTACGAGGCAAGGTATTTCGAAAGATCCTTGGAGAGTATTCTATTTAGACGGCTTATAGGAATCTGCCCTAATCAGAGGGTCTTTTATTTTCCACCTAACTGTATTTATCAAATAAATAAAAGTATCATAAAGAATGAAAGTTGGAGTCCAACAAAGCAAGCTCAGTGCTGCTTTGTAAGAGCCTTAGGATAAGTCTTTGATTCAGAAACCAAGTTCCTTTTCTTCCAAAGATGCTGCTTTGAAGCAGGGTTATATCGAGGTAGTTCCAGACATGCAGAGCATAAGGAACAAAATTGGTTGTTGGTGAGAGACAGGGAGTGGGAGAAATCTCAGTTGGACAAGAAGGACCAAAAAGTAGAATCAAGGCTTAAACTATCAGGAAGTGACAACATGCCCTGAAGAACTTGGGAAATTGCTGTAAGAAAGGTCAAATCTCAGTGCCCCGAGGCTGCTACCTGGCATGGATTTTCTGGCTAAGAACATGAATTCTCAAGTGTTATTTTTCTGGCACATCACATGAACCTTCACTACAGAGCTTCAGGGTGAATCAACTCCTCCACTCTATATGAGTAATTTCAGTAGAGATTAAGAACTTTCATGGAATTTACTCTTCTAATACCTTTGGCACACATTTTCAGTATCATAAACATGAATCTGCTTCTTGTAAGAGGCAGCTACAGCCTTAGCAACACTCATTTTGTGTTTAACACACCACAGTTCTACAGAGAAATATAGCTGATAGAAGAGAACATTTCATAAACCTCAGCGTCAACCCTGAAGGAGGGTTTCCCCTTCTTGGGCTGATTTAAAGGTTTTCTCTAAGTGATACCAGCAGCCATTCCATAATGGAGATTATTTTCTTTCACAGGAAGAATTGCACTAAAAGAGCTCCAGCAGTTCTCAAAGCAGCACCAGTTCTCACCAGCACAGGAATGTTTTATACTGGGATTGCTTATGTCACTTCCCCTTTAGAAATAAACATCAAGGTGAAAAGTAGCACCTCGATTCACCATATCCACCACAGAGCTGTACTTGGAAACATAACACTGCAAAGAAACACACTCAGAATATCCTAGAAGTCTTCAAATGACGTCCCCCAGCCTTAAAAACCCACCCTGTCCTAGAGAGAGGGCTCTGAGGCAATACTATCGCTTCAAGTCTCTTCATCTGACAGAAGATGACCGAAAAGCCCTACACCCAAACCACCCACTGGCTCTCCACTACCTCAGTGGAGGGGGTAAAAGAACATAAGTCTTTCCCAGTCCCACATCTACTGATGCTTTGAACTTGGATAATGGCCACAAGGCATACTAATCACACATTTAAGACTTCCCAGCTCTATGAGGAATACTACCATTCGGGTTCAGAGAACTATTTTGTATCTAGACAGATGTGGAGCGTGTCCTCATTGAGTTATTTCATTCAGCCCTATATTCCTCAGTCATTTTTAAACACTTAAGGTAACACAGGGGGTGTTTCACTCAAAATCCTACAGTAACATTCCAAAATTTGCCAGAGGACTCGCTGTTCACAACTGCAAAGCAATCAGATTGGGATGTCTTCCCCTGTTTGCTCTTATCTGGATCAGAAAGGAGCAGTTGAGTAGTTTTCAAGCCAGCTTTTGCATGAGCCTCCCCAAGACTGAGGTCTGTACCTTGCTTTTTTGTGGATGATGAATTCCAGAGATCTGTCCTCTGTTTCTTCTGATTACTGTCATCCAGATGAATATGCACCTAAAGGAAAACAGGAAGTTCTAGACATGGCTACAGAAGTGAACTTGCACTTCACCCCTCAAAAAGCTAGCCCATGTTATGGGTAAATAACACAATTAGTGTCACTCTTCTAGTGTTAGTAAGGTTGTAGGAGTTACTATCTGCCCTTCCCAGTTTGTTTCCAGTCTTCCATATTGTATTTAACAAGGAGCAAAGAACTATATCAGCATTTAACCAGCCTTTCTGAGTCATTTTATGGGAGCAGCTTTTCATGGGCTGCCCTAAAGAACCCAATTATTTGGGTATTGTCCATCACTAACACACACAGAGTTGCTTCATTCGGCCGCACAAATAGAAGGAAGCCTTGAAAGATGACTTTCATATTAAGTTTATCTAAAAAAAACCCATCTGTTCCTGAAATTCATTACAGCATCACAGCCCATATGTCCCAAACCCGAGATAAATTATAAGGACTTCAAGGGGAGGTTCAGTGGCTCTATTGCACTTGGCTGTAATTTAGCTTATTACCGAAGAAGAGACTAGATTATTGGAAGAACAGATCAATTCTTGCGTAATATGCAGTATCAACATGTTCAATAATTCACATTTGCTGCACTTCACTCATATAATTTTAGTTTCTTTAAAGATTACTGTGTAGTCCCTCTTCTTCCATGGAACCTAAACTAACCACAGCTCCCTGGGTGTTTTTTCTCTGTTTTGGTTTGGGCTTAGGCTGGGGTTGGTTTTTTTATTTCCTAGATCTTACATATCGTCCCTGTAATCAACATCATCATGTACTATACTACCAGCATCCTTCAGAGTCTTGGATACACTAAGCACAGACATTAAATGCCAGTGAAGAAAGACTCGAACACAAAGCACCCCATACCTTATAAAATTTAGATATCGACCGATGGGGCGTGAAAGCTGTTGTGCCTTCTGGAGGATCGATGTTGAATACCGTCTGGAAAACAGATGTAAACAAATGCAGAGATTTAACAACTATTTCCAGCAAAACCCCCAACTTATCTTTGCACTGAGAAGTATCTCCACAAGAGTTACTATTGTGATAACCTTAACAGGAACAAGGAGATATATTTATTAAATAAATGCAGAGAATCTTCAATAAACATGGGGTTTGGGTTTTTTTTTTTTACAGGCAATTCCTGCTAACGACATGGGCATGCTCAAATAAATGCAAGCCAGTACCTAAATATATCCAAACTATAAAATGCCAGTATCATTACTGACACTGTTCATGACTTCTGGTTGTTGATAAACAAACAAACTACGTGTTCATGAGACCAAAGAGTCACAACTGAGTGTAAAAGAGCTTTTTGAATTCCCCTAAAGTTTCAGCCATGAT